ATCGCCGAAAGCATTTTGTAGGATAGTCTCAATGCTCGGATAATAGTTTGTTCCTCTTTCCATCTCTCGTAAAATGTTTCAGGACTTACGACTATCAATGGGGGGTAGACATTCGCATCAAGCAGCGCAGTCCGAAATCATCCACATTCGCGCGGGCGGGAGGGGGTGGGGTACAAAGTGGAAGGGGAGCCACCGTCGCATTTTCTGAAGGTAAAAAACGACCTGCTAAAATAGAAGCTGTTATGCCTTGGTGTGTCTGTGTAACTGCCCCAGGTCGGCTTTCGAAATTCTCTGAGGCAAAATTAGGGTAGAATACAAAAAGGAAGGGAATACGATTTTTAATCGAAGCAAGTGTTGAGTTGAGAGTACTTGATATGATACTCTATAAAATAATAACGGAAAGGGATAAAAAATATTGGAGAGAAAAAGGTTGAAGAAAAAACGAAAGTGGAAAAAAGAAGAAATAGGAATAAAAAGACTTAAAGCAAAGAAAAGACAAACAATGAAGAAAAGGTAGAGATAACGGGAACTAAAAATGGAGGGTGCAAAGGTCGCCAAAGAGAAGTCGAAAAAGAATAGAAATAGGAAATAACATCGCAGGTCGCGGAAAGAGAAGACTCGCGGTAACGGAGGAAGAATAAATGGGCACAGAAAAAGGAGCCCATCACGACCAGGTTTTCCCCCCTTGACAGAACCATAAGCGTGATAGCATACTGGCGAAGATTTGTCGCGAAATGTAAGAAGACAGCGTGCCCAAAATAATGGGGTTCTAGGAACATGAGAACTAAAACAACTAACAATATTAAGCACATTGTTGGCAAGGTTGACGTACTGCATACATAATTGACATAGGTTAAGGAAGTAAATCTGTGATATAAATCGCATGTAAACGCTTGCAATAAGTATTATGAGTTTTCTGGTCCTGGAATGTTTTGATTCTCTCGAATGTTTATCCATTTACATATTTCCCTCCTTCAATTTCTTCCATTCTTTAGTTTTAAATTAGGGATAAGTATGCAGATTTGTCAGATGTTTCGAATTCATGAAATTTTTAATTTTCTATATATTCTTTACGTTGAAAAAACAAGGGATAAAAACCGTAATGTAAGTAGTGAATCCGCCGTACTCGCACGATTGGCTGAAGCGTATTTTTTGAGGGAACTTAATGGTTCCTCTCAAGTTCATCTCAAATTCCCCTTTAAATACGGTTTTGAGTTTGTAAATACGTTTGAAAGCTTGAGGCGCTAATGAGTCGTGGGATATTGCGTGGTTGTTTGGATCACAGGTATTGTTTTGTTTATTTTGTAGTCGTCGAGATTACTGCGTCGCCTAAGATGAGGAAATTACTCTATGCTAAGGCAATGGATGGGTGTATAAAATAAATTTTATTGGTGGAAAAAGGTATGCGTCTCGGAATTGATGTCACTCAAAGAAGGAAAGTAGGGGAAAGTGCTAACGCTACATATCCTTACAGCATATTATGGTTTTTTAAAGGCTCTTAACCACCTCCAGAGGTTCTTAAAGATTTATAAATCAAGTTTTAAAATCATTTACAAGAGATGCGATCCTTAAACAACAAGTGCCTAACGCTGGGGATTTTCTTTCTTCTTTCTTCAGGTTTTTAAAGAGCCATTAAGGACCTAGAAAGCTTTTACGCTCAGCATTGAAAGTGTAGATAGAATCTAAAGGTCCAAACTTCTGAGAAACTCTGAGAGACCTTTGGAAAATTTCCCCGCCTTAAAGAACTTTGGTCCATGGGGGCCCTTGAGGATTTTTAAAGGCTGAAAACAACTTTTCGAAAACTAATACCCTTGGGGCCTTCTAAAGGCTGTTGTAAACTGCGCTTCAGACTCTTAAAGGCTCTCAAAGACACTTAGATGCTCCTTCAGTTCGTAAATGGTCTAAGGGCTATTTAATACTTTGGGGACACTCAGTTTGGCTTTTAAAAGAATCTAAAACACTTTAGGGGGTGGGGTACTGTAGGATTGGGGAGACCTCTAAGGGATCTTAAGCACTCTTAAAGCTTTTGTAAGACTGTAATGGACTTTTGGAGGCTTGTGGAATCTTATCTTAAAGGCTTTCGAAGACCCCTAACAGATCTTCCTTACGATCGACAGTACCTAAAAACAAGACCCTTAAAGACGCTCATAGAGATTTCAAAATTCGTTGAAGACCCTTAAAGAGACTAAAGCTCCCAGCGAAATTTAACGAGGAGTTTGAAGAGAACAGTTAAAGGGCTCTAAAACCTTCGGAAACCATTTGCGATCCTTAAAGGCTCTTAAAGAGTTGTTGAAGCCCATAAAAAATTTTAAACGTTTTAATGGTAATCTCTTAAAGACTAAGGCTAAACTCTCTCTTTAAGGGCCGTTAAGGACTTTCAAAGACTTTTAATGAATCAAATCAATTTAAAGGGTATTTAAACCTTGAGGCCCATGGAGCCTCATTGGGACTCATCATTGGAGGTCAACACAACTCTTTTTAAGGACTCCTAAAACTTTTAGATGACTTTGACTCTTAAGGGTCTCAAATATTCATAATACCTAAAACGGGATCTTTAAAGACTCTCAGAGATCCCAAAATGCACTCAGACTGGGCAATTTCGGACAAAATAGAATCTAAGTTATGGAATAGCTACTTTTGGAGACATTTGGGGTTCTTAGATGGTTTTGGAATCATTTTGCAATCCTTAACTACTCTTAAACGATTTTAGAGGACCATACACGTTTGCAAAGACTTTTAAGGACTCAGGAAAGACCAAAGACAATAAAGTCTACACAGCCCTTGGAGCTTTCTTGAGACCCTTTAAGACACTTGGTGGCCAATGGAGGATTTAAAGACTCTAAAGCTATTGTAGATTCTTGGAGGCGTTTGAAAGTTCTTAGAAGCTGCTGACAACTCAGACAGGGTCTAAAAGATCTCAAAGATTAAAAGGCGGGGACTAAAATCAAATTAAAGGCTTTTAAAGTGCCTATAAGACACATCTCCATGAGACTATTGAAAACCTCTAGAGATCTATCGAAATGTTTTTAAGGGCCCTAGAAGCTTTTATAAGATTTATCCAGGCTCTTGATGACCCTCAAAGACTCCAAAAGCACTTAGCTAAGTCTGTTAAGGATTTTTTAACATCTCAAACGACGCATTTAAAGAGAAGATAGGATCAAAAGTACTGTAAGAGGTTCCGGAAGACCATGGGAGACCTGTGAGACTTTCTGAAGTTTCTGGAAACCGTTGGAGATTCTCAAGAATTCTAAAAACTTTTAAAACCATTTAACTTATAGAGCCTCTAAAAGGCTAGGCTTTTTTAAAGATTCTTAAAAGGTTAGGTTCTATAAAACCGTGCGACCTTTTTGAGACTCTCTCTTTGAAGGTAATTAAAACTCTTAAAGATTTTAAAGGACTCTAAAAGCTTTTAGTAATCCGTAGTGGAGTTTTGGGGGCCTTTGAAAGTTAGGAGAAGCTGCTGGAGGCGCTTAAGATTCTTACATGCATTTAGAGTCGCTTAAAGGTCTCGGAGATTAATATCTAAAGACGAGGCTCTTTAAAAGATCTTTAAAGATCTTAAAATGCGCTCAGACTGTTGGCCTTTGAAGAGTACATAGAATCTAAAGAGCTCTAAAATGTGGTGGTCTTGGAACATTTTGTGCGAAAATTTACATTATATACCTCTTCATAGCGAACGTGAACAAAATTATGTCTGGCGATAACAATTGATAACAGGAAACGTATTGAGGAAAGCAAGTGCGGTTGCCACGACCTCTTCGGACCTAATAGTTGCGTTCATTCCGTTTGAACTAAAAATCCCAAAGTGCGGGTTTTCTATTGGCTGTGGATTTTTCTAGCGGGCGAGATTCAAATAGCGAGAAAAGTAGGAATCATAAAAAAATCAAAATATTTATTTATGCATCAAGTCCTGCCGGAAAAAGGCCAAAAGGCTGGCGTGCTGCTGGAATTCGGTTACTTCCTTCCCATGCGTTCCTTCATTAGACTTACTCAATCCTGTAAACTGATCTCCCTATGCTATTTGCGCCCAAGGTTAATAGAGAAGGTAGGTTGCCTCGTAACTTTCAACCAATAAACGTTCAGTATTAAAATACGCGAATGACGTCACCCAGAATCCCATTTTGTGCACATCATAAAAATTAATTATTAACAGGTTCCGGAAGACCATGGGAGACCTTTGAGACTTTCGGAAGTTTCTGAAAACCGTTGGAGATTCTTAAGAATTCTAAAAACTTTTAAAACCATTTAAGTTATACAGCCTCTTAAAGGCCAGGCTTTTTTCAAAGATTCTTAAAGAGTTATCCCATATTCCCATGGAATTTCCCCTAACATTCATTGTTTCTCTTAAATTTACCGTTACATTTTCATCAAGAGAAAAATGAAACATTCATTCTTAATGTATTTTTGAATTTCCCATTAAGCTCCCCTCAACATTTCAAAGTCATTTCAAACTTATCTCAAATTCTCATCATATTTCCCTGAAGCTATTTCTCGATAACCCGCTTTCACCGACCTCAAGGTACCTTGAACTTCCTTTAAGCTTATTGGGCCTGTTCCAGACAACATAGCAGGTCTCGTAGCAGGTAGATGGGTATTTAGAAAATTTAAAAAATCGTGAGTACTAGTGGTTGGTTAATTTTTAATTGCAGATCTTTGAACCAAATGCCAAAAGGAGGCCCTAGTTCCTGCTTATTGCAAATTGCTACACAAGGGAGGGTCGCCCCTCCCCCCAATCAAGGATATAGGCAATGAGAAAGTGACCTCTACCCATCAATCCCTTAGTATTAAGTGGAAAGGTTGCCCTCATGGATGCAAAGAACGCTAGCTGATCATGGAACTGAACTACAGCAGTGTCGCAGTACTTTTGAGGATGAACTGACTATATAAGTCGTTTTTTGAAAGACCTATGCCTATGTTATTCTTTTTGAGTGCCGAAAAACGACTTTTCAGCGACTTCGTCTTACAAAATGAAAGACAATCGAATATTAAAAAGCACTTACGTTGAAGTACGAACAGACATTTTTCGCAGACTGGGGAACCCCATGTTCAACGTCGGTTTTTCCCGATCCTGCCTCGGCCAGTTTACGTCTGATCATCTCAATTCGCTTCACCAGATCACTAGGCTGCACGAATCGGGACACGATGTCCGACGACTGCGCCTTCGGCTTCGCAATAGAAATCGACCTACCGCCCGTGGTCGAGGACGAAGGACGAACGACGCGTTTTTCGCATATCTCGTTCACGAACGGCTCCTCGCTCGTCTTCGGCTCGTCCCGGAGCATGTGCATGTGCAGTCGGGCGAACTCGTTCGCCTCCTCGGATCGTTTTACGTCGCCGCCGGTGATGATGGAGAATTTCTGCTCGACGGTAGAGATTTTTGAGTAACCGACGCAGTACGACTGGAACGGTACGGGTATTTTCGTCATCTTGGGCGTAGTGGGGCGGGTGCGAAAGGTGGACGACCTGGGCGACATAAGGTCGTCCACGTCCGTCGACGTGCTAGTATCCTTACAGCTCATCTCCTCGCAGGACACGGGGCGGGAGGTAGGTGATTGTTTTGCAACTTTCAACGGAGTAAAGGTGTGCTTTCCGTGGACCGGAGATAAAGGTCTCAAATGAATCGGAAGCTCATTTCTTCTTTTGAAGGGCAGAGACGCCGGCTGAGATTTGACTTGTTTCACTTCCGTAGCCCCATTCTTCCTCTTGGCGGCCACCTCCTTGTCCCGCTTGTACAGGCAAACTGCTTCCGGTTTCCTCTCAAGCTTTCTACCTCGTTTTTTCGGAGCTTCCATTTTGCTAGAGCTCTCATCCGTCTCCGCCGACTTGCTAAGTTTCACAATCTTCGAGCTGCTCTCTTTCATTGGAAGAGAGTCCGTTTTATTAGATCCCACCGGCTCTAAATTCGGAAGTGAGTCGCATTTGACGCAATTTTCATCCTCAACCTCAGAAGGATCGCACTCGTTGCATGCGGTCTCACGCAACGATTTCAGCGCGGTAAAAGACATCGAAGATTTCGCCTGCGTTTCCAGCTTGCCCACGCCATCTCCGTCTCCTTGTTTCGAAAGGTTGTATGCGGTGCACGAAATTTTCGCGCACACCCGAGGCGGCTCTACTAAATCGACGCTTACGGGTTCCACCTTCTCCGGAATCGGCGCCTTGGGTTTCTCTTCTTTAGGAACCGACACCAGGGTCTCAAAATGACTAGGCCTTTTCGCAGATTTGGGCGGTTGAAGCTCTAGACATTCGGTACTGTACCAGCAGTTTTCCATTTTGGGTTCCGGCACTTTCAGGCGAACGTTTCTCGTGCCAGACGAATCGGTTTCCTCATCTACCATACTGCTGACAATCTCCATAAAGGCGTCTTCTCCGGGTTCCGGGACGGACATTGCGTTTTGGATTTGCGAGACGAACCACATTGCAAATTTAGCTCATTTAATTTGGCTTCGAATTTTCGACTAAAAAAATTTGGCAGTTGTCACTATGACGGTTCATACCGTCAAGCGGATGACTCGATTTGTGTCATAAATATCGTTTGCATGTGTGAGGGAACGCATCATTTGTAAAGGATCCCCATTTGGATCAAGGAACCGATTTAGTGAAAGTCTGTTTCACTATACCGAGGCGCAAATAGCATAGGGAGATCAGTTTAGAGGATTGAGTACGTCTAATGAAGGAACTCCTGGGAAGGAAGTAACCGAATTTCAGCAGCACGCCAACCTTTTGGCCTTTTTCCGGCAGGACTTGATGCATACGTAAATATTTTGATTTTTTTGATTCCCACTTTTCTCGCTATTTGAATCTCGTCCGCTAGAAAAAGCCACAGCCAATAGAAAACCCGCATTTCGGGATTTTTAGTTCAAACGGAATGAACGCAGCTTTTAGGTCCGAAGAGGTCGTGGCAATCGTACTTGCTTTCCCCAATACGTTTCTTGTTATCGATTGTTATCGCCAGACATAATTTTGTTCACGTTCGCTATGAAGAGGTATATAATGTAAATTTTCGCACAAAATTTTCCAAGACCACCACATTTTAGAGCTCTTTAGATTCTATGTACTCTTCAAAGGCAAACAGTCTGAGCGCATTTTAAGATCTTTAAAGATCTTTTAAAGAGCCTCGTCTTTAGATATTATTAATCTCCGAGACCTTTAAGCGATTCTAAATGCATGTAAGAATCTTTAAGCGCCTCCAGCAGCTTCTCCTAACTTTCAAAGGCCCCCAAAACTCCACTGCGGATTACTAAAGGCTTTTAGAGTCCTTTAAAATGTTTAAGAGTTTTAATTACCTTCAAAGAGAGAGTCTCAAGAAGGTCACACGGTTTTATAGAACCTAACTTTTTAAGAATCTTTAAAAAAGCCTAGCCTTTTAGAGGCTCTATAACTTATTAAATGGTTTTAAGAGTTTTTAGAATTCTTAAGAATCTCAAACGGTTTCCAGAAACTTTCGAAAGTCTCAAACTCTCTTGCGGCACTTTTGATCCTATCTTCTCTTTAAATGCGTCCTTTGACATCTTAAAAAAAGACCCTTAAGAGACTTACCTAAGTGCATTTGGAGTCTTTGAGGGTCATTAAGAGACTGGACAAATCTTATAAAAGCTTTTAGGGCCCTTAAAAACCACTAAACATTTAGATAGATCTCTAGAGGTTTTCAATAGTCTCATGAGAATGGGTCTTATAGGACGATTTAAAAGCTTTTAATTTAATTTGGAGTCCCCGCCTTTAGGTATGTACTAATCTTTGAGATCTTTTAGACCCTTTATGAGTTGCCAGCAGCTTCTGAGAACTTTCAAAGGCCTCCAAGGGTCTACTACAGCTTTAGAGTCTCTAAATCCTCCATTGGCCACCAAGTATCATAAAGAGTCTCAAGAAGGCTCCAGGAGCTGTGTAGACTTTATCGTTTTTGGTCTTTCCTGAGTCCTTAAAAGCCTTTGCAATCGTGTATGGTCCTCTAAAATCCTTTAAGAGTCGTTAAGGATTACAAAATGATTCCAAAAGCATCTAAGAACCCCAAAGGTATCCCAATTAGATTCTATTTTCTCTCTGAAACTACCCAGTCTGAGTGCATTTTGGGATCTCTGAGAGCCTTTAAAGATCCTGTTTTAGGTATTATCAATATTTCAGACCCTTAAGAATGCAGTCGTTAGAGTCTTCTGCCTTCATCCTCTAAAAGCTTTAGGAGTCCTTAAAGAGTAGTGTTGTCCTCCAAAGATCTTCAAGAGTCCCAACGAGGCTCCATTGGTCTTCGAGGTTTTAATACCCTTTAAATTGATTTGATTCATTAAAAGTCTTTTGAGAGAGTTGCGCTTAGTCCTAGCATTTAAGAGATTTTCTTTAAAACGATTAACGGGTTTTATGGGTTTCAACAATTTTTTAAGAGCCTTTAAAGATCGCAAATGGTTTCCGAAGCTTTTAGAGCCCTTTAACTGTTCTCTTCAAACTCCACGTTAAATTTCGAAACTGGGAGTTTTAGTCTCTTTAAGGGTCGAATTTTAAAAGCTCTGTGAGCGTCTTTAAGGGTCTTGCTTTTAGGTACTGTCGGTCGTAGATCTGTTAGGAGTCTTCGAAAGCCTTTAAGATAAGAGTCCACAAACCTCCAAAAGTCTATTACAGTCTTACAAAAGCTTTTAGAGTCCTTAAGATCCCTTACAGGTCTCTCACAATCCTACAGTGCCCCCTAAAGTGTTTTAGATTCTTTTAAAAGCCAAGCTGAGAGCTGAGACCTTAGACCATTTACGAACTGTACGGTCATCTAGGGGTCTTTGGGAGCCTTTAAGAGTTTCAAGTGCTGTCCTTAACAGTCTTTAGAAGACTCCAAGGGTATGAGTTTTCTAAAAGTAGTTTTCAGCCTTGAAAAATCCTCAAGAGCTCTCATGGGCCAATATCCTTTAAGCCGCAGAAAGCTTCCAAAAGTCTTTCAGAGCTTCTCGGGAGTTTGAAACCTTTAGATTCTATCGACTCTTTCAATTCTGAGCGTAAAAACTTTCTAGGTCCTCAAAGGCTCTTTAAAAACCTGAAGACTCCCTTTAAAATCCCAAGCGTTAGGCAATTGTTGTTTAAGGATCGCATCTCTTGTAAAGGATTTTAAAACTTTTTTATTTTTAGAACCTCTACAGGTGGTTAAGAGCCTTTAAAAAACCATAATATGCTTTAAGGGTATGTAGCCTTAGCCTTTAAAAGGTTTTATGAATCCATTAATACTTATTAAGAGCATTATGTGTCTCATTAAGAACTTTAAAAGCTTCACGGACTTTCAGAAGCTTTCAGATCGCTTGGAATTTCCTTCGTTCTTTAAAAACCAAGCCATTACAGGCTTTTATAAGTCTTTCCAGGGTTCTCTAAGAGCATCAAACACCTTCACAAACATAAGAACCTTTAAGGTTACACGATTTTAGTTGTTTGTGAGTTCAAAACATTCACTATTGTTCGTATTTCTAAGCCGTAAATTATGCTTTGTAAACCAGAGTCACCAAACCTTAATACACATTTAAAACTTTACGCGTTTGTTCGTATTTACCGTAATAGTTTCCAATTCGCACGTTATCCTTTGCAAACGAGAGCCACTAAAAACTTTAATTCGCAATTTTATGGTGCACATAAACTTCGCTACCGTGAACGCACGAAACAGTACACACTCTCGATTATTAGTTATCAAACCGATGTATAAAAATCACCTCGAGATAAATTACAGGTGATCCTGTTAACTGCGCTAACGGCTCGGCGCGAGTTAAAATAAGACGAAATAAAACCCCCTTCCGATGTCTTGTAGAGTAATAATATGGGGTTGTTAAACTGTATGATTGTGTAAGAGTTAATATTCAGGATATCCGCCGATATGTAATGAAATTGACTATTACAATTCATTCGCAAGGATTGCTAATCAGCAGAGTGTAAAACTTGCATCGAACCGATCGGGTTGGATTGTTAGAAATAAACTTTGTTCTCCAAATGTCCACCCTACGGTAACCTACAGCTGCTCAACTTTACGTAGTTCTCGGTTCAGTGCGCGTTGCATTACGATTCTGCACTAACAACCAACTTCCTGCCACTTTCCTTTTTTGAATGACATACTTTTTCCACCAATAAAATTTATTTTATACACCAATCAAATCCATCGCTTTAGTGTAGAGTAAATTCCTGATCTTATGCGAAGCAGTAATCTCGACGACTGCAAAGTAAACAAAACAAAACCTGTGATCCAAACAACCACGCAATATTCCGCGACTTATTGGCGCCTCATGCTTTCAAACGTAATTACAAAGTACCATTCTAAAAATTTAAGGAATGCTGTCCAATAATGAGACCATTATCGTTTAAAATTCTCACAATATAAACCATACTCGTTAAAAAAAAATTTCATTTTGTAAGAATCGCCGTTAATCTCAAAGAATCTACCACAGCCAATGAGAGCCTCCAAGAGCTTTCTAGTTTGTTTTAGAGCCGTTAAAGGCCCCACTAGGCTCCTTGATGAATCAAATTTGCATCGAAGTGAAACCAAATAGTTTACCTTTTGAGGTGAATCATTTTAAAGCGCATTCGATTCTCTAACCTGTGATACAACACTTCTCAGAGGTTGGGTTGCATTCAAATTACCATAGACAGATGCATTCAACATAGTAAATGAAAAATCCAGTGTTTTAATATCAAACATTCGGCAACCAACGTAACATCACGGTAACTCGGGTTGCTTGCAAGCAATTATTGAATGCAATGGTTTAACCTTATAATTAAACATGCTTTAATTAGTAAGACAAACAACCTTGACTTCCGTTTTAATAGCGGCATAAATTAAATCAAGTTCCCGTTGCACGATTTCGGCGTGGTATTTTGCGAATTGCTACCATTTTTGGGTACCATCCTTGAACGAGTTTATTAAATTATTGACCTATTTATCGCATTAAAAACGCGATTGAGCAACTGTTGATGTTACGCAATTATCGTGACGCTAATTATAAAAATGTTAACTGTCGATTCTGTATATTTTGTACAAAATTCCATCGAGCTACCAGAGAGGTCTCCGATACATATCTGCCCAAAGAAATTTAGTCCTGCTGCCTACTTCACAAGAGTTCATACCAGATCTAGAGCTTTGCTTCAAAAATGAATCTGGAGCTCGAGTTTAAACTATGGTGGTCTCATTATTTGGCACTTTTACTGAAGTTTACGTACGCAAGTGGTCTTAAATACGGTCAGCGCAATTAAGTCTGACACCTGCAAATTAGCGCGGAGTTTGTGTTAAAAAATTCACAGTGAGCCGCGAGCGAAATTAAGTCAACAACATGTAATTTATTCTAGGGTGGATTTTATTGGGACTTGGGAGTTATTCAAACTCGCGTCCCGCCGTTAGTGCAGTTAAGACGATCACCCACCATTTATCGCAGGGTGTTCTTTTATACAGTGGTTTGCCGACGGCTAGCTCAATATATCGAAAATTTTTCAAGTAGAATGGACCTTTTTCTCCATTACTGAAAAACTGAAATTATCGCACTACTTGCTCCGAAGTAAAGA